AAGCAAGGAAACATAAGCACTCCAGCTTTTTCAAAATGGGTGTGGCTCCACAACCTCCATAGAGACAGCCTGGTTCTTATATAGCCAAATATTCTCATTTCTAGAGGGGGGAAAAAAACCCAAAACAGCCAAATGCAAAACTTTACATCCCATCTTTCAAGTGGTCAACAGCAAGAATAACTACCTGAGCAGCCACGGATCAGCCCCACTGGAAAGAAGACTTGGGGGAAGAAGTGAAGAACAAAAGCAGGACACTTCTCTCCCAGCCTCTTCCTCTGCTTCTTCTAAATAATGGCTCAAATCCCATCTCCTTTGTTTTCTGATGTCTTCACCAATCTGATAGAAATGGTGAAGTAAAAAAAAAATACTTCCTCTGCATTTTATCTTTTTGGGAGATATTACTTATGCATTATTTGGGAAATACTAGACATGCCTCTTGGACACAACTCATTTTATCTGAAGCTGAAAGCAAAGGAAAAAAGACCCAAATACTCCAAATAGGCATATTTTGTGTCTATCTGCCTCCCATGGTTCTTAACCGGGTTTGGTGTCAAGAGCAGCCCTTAGAAGCTAAACAAACAATAAAGTTCTCATACCTATCTGACATATTCTGTGAGAATGAAGTTTTCATTTCTTTGTATCCTCAATCCTCCAAGTATCTCATACACAATTCCCACAGCTCACTTCAAGTCCTGGATCTGATTCACAGAGCTATTTAAGGAATCAGGTTCTTATTTCCAATTCAGAAAAGGTAGATAAACTTCTTATAAAAGAATTAGGGGCTTTGACACTTAGACACCAATTAAGCTTGTGAGAGCCCAAAGATCATCAGCTTTCCACTAACTCAATGTCAGAGGAAAGAAGCAGGGCTCTGAATCAATTGTATACAGATGTTTTCTGGGTTCCTTCCTGGAACTGATCACAGGTATTCCTGAAAATAATGCTCCTTCCATCTATCCACCAGCCGTCAGGGCAGGTATGCTCCCCAGGACAGCAGAGATCACAGAGCATAAAATAAATTATACACGTGACACAGGAAAGGCAAACTTAGATGAAAATACAAAATACTTTCAAAGCAACTTCCAGTGGAGCGGTCTCTGAAGTCTATCAAGACTGGAAATGAAAGCCAGCACCAGATGACAAGGAAGGTGATTGAAAGAAACTACTGTGAAATGAATAAAGACTACACAGACTGAAGGGCAGAGAAAAACTCTTTACTTTATAAGAAAAATAATAAAGTACTTGTAACTTCCCTTCAATTGAAACTATAGTCTCTAACAAAATAATACTTTCTGCAATTTCAGTCCTGTAAAAAAAACAAAACCTTAAATCATAATCTGAGAAGAAGTGCAACTCCTTTTGTTTGAAGTGAACACTGTTCACAATGTTTCTGATGAACCAGAGAATAAAATCTCACTAGCTGACATATCATTTACATAAGTAAATATGAACCTATTTTTTTTTTTTTTTTTTTTTGGTCCTGGAATTACTGAAAGCTAATGGTATGGCACAGCAAGTAAGCTGAGAAGAAGTTGTATTTTAAAAAAACAGTGACATATTTATTTAATATTTTTCATATCTGCTGAAATATTGATCTAGGTCACATATACCGATTTAGCTTCACATAAAAATATGGTATGTGTCCATCAGAATTCTACTTCACAGTAAAAGCCAAAAAGCAATTAAGTCTTCAAAATACTGTACAATGAGCACCACATTTTGGCAAAGAGTTCAACATATTCCATTACAGAGGATAGACATTTAATCCATTACTCTTGTGGAAAGAGTCTTCTCAATTCATGAAATATTCAATTTATCTTTTTTTCTATTATTCCTAGCCTGTCTCTGCATATGGTTTATATCTGCCAATGTGTATTTTAGGTTTTACTATTGTATTATGATAAATATATTGCATATAAAGTCAAAATTAAGAGCAATTGTATTTTTGTGAAGTATTTTGTGTGTACATCTGGAAACAAATCACAGAGAAAGGTTTAGTGGTTTTGGCTCACATAGATTTCAAAGAACTAAAGACTACTGTGAAATATTTAAACTTGCATAAATTCAATCTGTGTAGCATATAAACACGAACCCAAGAATTATTTTTCAGTGATAGGTAGAACTGACCCATTATTCAGATTGTGTGGTATTTCTCATGATAAAGTTGCCTTTAAAGTTTTTTAGAACTATATGCAATTGCAGTTCTTTGGGCTAAAACGTTCCATGTCAACGGACTATGATAGATTCAAGCTTTTAAACTTGATTTTGTTTTACAAAAATAGAAGTCAAAATTATTGGACCTGCATTGAGAGCATTCTAAAATCTTGCACAGTGTTCTTGTTTTGTTCAGCTGTCTTGAGATCTTTCCTTACTGAACTACAGAGCTTCACTCTTCACTGACTGACTTGAAAAGAGGATGGAAATTCAGGAGCAGAATGGCTTCACATCAAACTTCTTGATGTGTGTGAAAATTTTCACAATAAATAATCCTTGGATTATATCAACACAGGCACTACAAGCTTCAGGGGAAGAAGGGAAGAGTAGAGGCTGCATTTAAAATCTAGAAATGGTAGGTTTAGTTGCAAGCAGCTCAGACAGACTGACCACATGTGGGAAGAAGCCAGCTACAGAGATAAAATGCTATGTGATAGAACACAAATTTATCTTCTTTGTACATATAAATTATGACTTGTTATGGTCTTTGATTATACTTCTGTTGTTTCTACAGGATTCAGCTTTATACAGTAGACTTTTACCAGTGCAGTATGGTTATTCATAATTATTCTTTTCCCCTTGTGCAAAGTAAGCATTATTTAATTTGATACAGAAATTGTAGAAACCCCACTGCAAATTTCTTTTGGCATTTTTAAAATCCCACACCACAACATCTGACTTCTTCTGCAATATTAGTAAGTCTTCAGAAAGAAAAAAATTGTTCCTGTTCTTCAAGAGAGAAACTTGCGCAAACAAGAATCAAGCTCAAAAATATTCACCAATTTTGGATGCTCAGCCTGGGACAACAGAAAATAATTTCTCCTGGTTCAAAGTTTTTGATGGAGTTTCACACTTTCCAGAAATTTCCATTATTTAGCTCCCTAGCATTAAACCAGTCTGAGGAATGTGTAACTCCTTATGTACAGTAAGAATCAGTTTGTGTGGACAGAACACCACATGAAAATTTCGCAAAAAACACAGGAATAGAACTCTCCAAAGAGATGATTTACATCCTTAACCATGAAATCATATTCCCATTTCTCCCATGGTTCTCATACACGTTTTTAACACACTGCACAACAAAAGAGGTAGAAGTTTCTGCACTTCCCAGTCATGACATGCACCCAAGTCTTTCCTGTGCATGGTATGGAGAACCTCCAGAAGAAAAAAGAATGCAGCAGCATAGCTGCAGATGCTCATAACACATGTCCTTCAGGCTGTGATGATTTTTCCTTTCTGGACAGTTTTTCTTTTCTATAATACAAAACACTGCTTTAAAGAACAACTAGAAACACATGTTCAGTACAAGCAACACTATCAAATGATTGAGACACTAAGCATAGGAAGTTTGTTTTAAAAAAGGCCAAAGAAAACTGAATTAGTAACAGACATTTTGCTGAGCACTACTTTAATTTTAGGGACAAGGTGGAAAAATTCTAAAATTCTTTTGCCCCTATGGAAAAGCCGTTTCATTTGTTCACCAAGCTAATTAGCATTAAGTGGTTAGCAGGTCAAATATTTTATGGTGTTAATCAAAAAAAGTGTCTTCATAGAAAAGTAGTGTTAAAATTAAAATTGTGTATTTTAAATGCAGTTTTAATTCTAACACTAAATAATTTTAAAGTTTTTGCATATGCTTCATAATGTAACTTATTTCCCAGTCCCCTCCACTTGGCCAAGACAAAGTTATAAAATTGAAAAGGAAAAGCAAAACTTCAGTAGCTGGAATATTAAATGCAGTTCTTCATGTCTCCTGCATAATTGGGAGTAGATGATTTACTTTGAATTTTAATGACTGTACTTAGAAATTTTCAACCTTATCTTAATTTCATTCTTAAATCCAGGCACTCTAGATATCATGTTTTCATTTCTTTAGTAAACAGAAATGCACTAAGATTGTGAAGGTGTTCCTGACTTGCAGATTTGCTATCTTTGCTGACAAGGCAGGATACTGCCTTGATATTGCTTTACTCATTCATTACTCAGTAAATATGAGCAGATGTTCACAAAACAGGGAGAAACAGGAGAAAACATCCAGAGCCTGTGTGACACAGGCAGCCATCACCAGTGGGCTGGCATTAGACTGCTCCTGGCATGCAGCCGATTACAAGCATCACCTCTGGTAGCCTCTGGCTGCACCAAAACCTGCCACACACAACCATGTGTGGGCTTCCAACCGCTGTTCAATGACTCATGGCCTGGATACACAGGATAGAATGTGATTTAAAGAAGAAAATACTGACTTTTTTCAGAAGCTGAAGTAGAGAATGAGGAAACGGCAGCTAATGAAGGTAAAGAGGAAAAAACCCATAAAAATCTAATGACAAATAAACCCGTCCCAAGCACTATCAGCAACCTTTGAATTAAGAACAGCTTGTTTCCATTCTGATTCAGTGGTACAGGCATTCATGTGGTAACTATCATTGTAAGATCTGAGCAGACTCTAAAAGCACAGTAGCAAACATTACCAGCTCTCTCAAATAAGAGCCCGCACTTTGACTCCCTCCAGCACCGAATTTGTTTGCCTTAAGAATTGCAGAAAATGATCCAAGTAGGTTATGGAGACCAGAGGTTTCCTCCACCAGATGTTACCAGAGTTGAGGAAATGAATTCTACATCTTGTTCTCATTCTCAAGCAGGTTTTGGCCCAGAAGATGATCTTTCTTTGATATCTGACTGTGCTGTTCAAAGCAAAATCCTTGGCATGCACCTGCCTTTTTAATGCTTCGAGAGGCAAAACAAACATGTCTGAGGTTATCCACAGGTCTCTACAGCACTGAACATACCAAATCCTCTGCTGTTACTGGTTCTCCTTTATGGTCATTAGCCACCACCATTTTCCCCAGTCTTTCTTTCATATCTTGAAGGCTGGTGGTAAGTGCCAGGATGGCCATAATCTCACTTGCAACAGCAATATCAAACTGAGCCTGTAAAGCAGAAATGAGAATCATGAACCAAATCAAAGTCAGCTGAAATACTCACAGGGGATCATTAGGAATAAACTCAGGAAAGATAAATTTCACACTGGAATTCAAACAACTTCTAAATGGTAACTTAAAGCTTTTGAGATTACTCAAGACTAGAGTAACTTGTATGTACAGACTGGACAATGAGCTGTGGGAAAGCAGAGCTGCAAAAAGGAACCTGGGGATCCTCGTCCATGGCAAGCTGAACACGAGCCAGCAGTGCCCTGGCAGCCAGGAGAGCCAGCCCTGTCCTGGGGGGCATCAGGCACAGCATGGCCAGCTGGACAAGGGAGGGGATTGTCCTGCTCTGCTCTGAGCTGGGGCAGCCTCAGCTCCAGTGCTGGGGCAGTTTTGGTGCCATGATACAAGAAAAACATAAAAATATTGGAAAGCATCCAAAGAAGGGCTACAAAAATGGTGACAACCTTGAGGGGAAGTTGTATGAGAAGCAGCTTAAGGTCACCTGGTCTGTTCAGCCTGGAGGAGACCTCAGTGCAGTCTACACTTTCTTCATGAGGGAGAGAAGGGGCAGGCGCTGATCTCTTCTCTCGTGACAGGACCCAAGAAAATAGCCTGAGGTTGTGTCAGGGGAGATTTAGATTGGATATTAGGAAAAGGTTCTTCACCCAGAGGGTGGTTGGGCACAGTGTTCCAGGGAAGTGATCACAGAATCAAGGCTGAGAGAGTTCAAGAAGCATTCAGACAATGCTCTCAGGTGTAGGGTGTGACTCTTGGGGATGGTCCTGCACAGGGCCAAGAGTCAGACTTTGATGTATCCCTTTAACCTCATGATATTGTATGATTCTGTGAACTTCAAACACCTTATAATCCCTCATTAATGTTGCATTACTACTACGCTTTAATAGCACAAAATGGCCATGAAATACACAGTTCTTTTATCTTTATACTTATTTTTAGTCAATTAACATTTTTTTCAGTGACCTAATGACCCAACACCTGTGTGCTGCACTGTGGCATTTTCTATTTAATCACTTATTACTACTGAAAAATCTCTAAAAGAAGAAAATTAAGACGAAAGAAGAAGTAAAAGAGACAACACCCTAAATTTTCTATCTTGTCTTTTGTTTTCTAAACTAGCTTAAACTCTACATTCTTAACTTTTTCACCTAGTGACTTAAGAAAACTCTCTAATCTACACACTTTTAGTTTTTTCATTTAACTTTAATAATTGTTTTTATGATGTTATATGAAATTCAATGGGTTTTTTTTGGATGTCAGAGCTAGGTATCAGAGACAAGGGCACACTTTGTGCCTCAGACTTGAACAATTAATATTCTCCATTACACTACATTTATTTGAGGACCAGTGTTGCAGACTTAGCTCCTTGGCTCACATTGTCCTCAGAGAAGCTCCCTGAAGGATCAAGAATTTTTCTTCTGTGGCAGAAACTGAAAATCACCAGATGTCTTTTGAGTTTTACTGGCCTGAGAAAAGGAATACTGCATTGTGGAGGGTTTTTAGTTTTTTTTTTTCTATAATGACCTCCAACAGCTTTTTATTCTGGTTTCAAAAAACATTCTTGTTACATTTGATCATTCTTTTTCTACTTTAGCT